CATAATTATACATATATTTCTATTGATTTTGTTTCTCTAGAGAAACGGATTTTGGTATCAGGAGTCATTCTAGAGAAACAGAAATATAAGGATGAATTTCTCTAATCAGTTTAGTGGTTCACTGAGTTGGCTCTCTAATTTGAGAAGCCCTAAGATTATCATGGTTTCTTGTTCTAATAATGTACAGAATATGGACAGTTCATGGTGTAAACTGTTTAAAGTAATATACAACACAGATTCATTTGATTGCCCTAATTCGCCACTTGTTAGATACAAGAATTTTAGTGACTTTATGTACAATACTTTTGAACACTTTGGGAAATATAATAAATATAATGATGCATTCTGTTTGCTTATAGCATCTCTGAATGTAGAAATTGGGAAAAAATGACTAATATAGAAATTTGATACTGAGAAAGGGTTATTATTGTACCTATACCTGAAAATGTGATTTAGAACACTTTGGAACTGGTTTGTGGGAGGAATTTGGAAACGTGTGGAGATGCAGATAGAGATGCCCTAGAATGTTGTAACAGACCTTGATGAGTGGTTTTGTTCATCTCAGAATCTCAGAATGCAGACAGTAAAGGCCAGGCTCAGGAGGTTTCAGCTGAGATACAAGGGCTCCACTGGCACCTGGACCAGAGGCCAGATGTGTTACATTCTGCTAAAAAATTTTTCTACAATTTTTCCAAGTCCTGAGACTTTCCGAAGTAGCCCATTATTCAGACTGTGACTTGGGCACTGCTGCCTGCTTCTAGCCAAATCAAAAGTGCAAATGGGGAAAAAGAGCAGAGGTGAGTTACCTGAAAGGTTTGCAGTTTCATCAGAAAAAAGAGCCTACAAAACAGGGGCTAGAAGGGGACAGTAGTTGAGAAGATTTATATTAAAAAGGAGCCATGGACTTTGCATCAGAGCAATAAGACAGATAGCATGAAGGTACCTCAGGAACTGGCCAGACTCCAACCATTGCATTCTTGAGGGTGGAGAGGAGCAAACAACTTTGAAATACTTTGCTCCAGAGAACCCCATATAGACAAGCTAGGACCATTTAGGGAAGTATTTCCAAAAGTTAGTCACCTGACATTCAGAGGCCATTGCAGCTATGCTCCAACAGGGCCCAGTTACTGGCAGCGGACTTTGAAGTCGTACATATATTGCTGGTTTTCAGTCATGCAGAATGCAAGAGCTGTGGAATGATAGAGGATTCCACCCGGGTTTCAGGAGGTAGCCCCAGAGTCTAGGCAGTGTCCTCTGAGAGGACAGTATGTAAATCTGTAAGAGTGAAAACAAAAGTGTAGTGGACTCCTCAAGAAGTTGGAGATGCCAGGAACATGGAAATTTGGCTGAGAGCATCACAGGTACTGAGTGGTGCCAACCCAGGAAAGAAGCCACATGGGCTGCACCCCTCCGGGCCACAGAGGCAGGGCTGTTTAAAGCCTCTGGAACTCACATCTTACCATACCTTGACCCAGGTGCTATACATGGAGCTGTAAGATTTAATATTTGTTTTTAGGACTTTCAGTCCTGCTTTGGTCCCACACCTTTCTAGCTCCTTATTTTTCCTTTTTTGAAATGGGAATGTTTATTCTCTGGCATTACATGTTGGAAGTATTCTCTCTCTTTCTGTCTTTCTCTCTCTCTCTGTCTCTCTCTCTCTGTCTCTGTATCTCTGTCTCTCTCTTCCTCTCTCTCTTCACAGGACCTCACAACTAAGAGTTTGCCTGTGTCTCAGGGGAGACTTTGGACTGATGTTAGAACTCTTAAGACTTTGAGACTTTTAAGAGATAGAATAAATGCAATTTTGTAATGAAATTGATATGAGTCTTTCAGAGGTCAGAGATAGAATGTCATCATGCAGATCTAAAATGTTCCATGAAAGTCTCACATGTTTGTAAAGTGACTGGATCGTGAGACACTGTACTCATCGCTGGATTCATTTATGGATGAGTTCAGTAGTTGAATGTACTGCGGGGGATAGAGCCCAGCTGCAGGTGGGTCCCTACAGCCTCACTTCGCAGGCTATATTCTTGTTTCTGGCTCTGTACTTCTCTCTCTGCTTGCCGGCTGCCATGGACTGAGCAGCTGTCCTCTGCTATGCCCTTCTGCCATCCTGTTTCTCCCTTGGAGCCAACTACCCATGTACTGAATCCTCTGAAGACTGTGAGACAAAAGAAACCTTTCTTCCTTTAATGCAAGGGTATCAGGTATTTTGTCCCAGCAATGGGAAAATGATTAAGACAGGGCATCGCTCTTTTCTTCTACTTTTTATTTTTTTACTATATGCCAAATGCCCATTAGGTGAATTGACATAACTGGTTCATAAATTTCCAGCTGGACAGTATTCTTCTCTCTGCTATGTTGTATCGATCCCATTTATTTGGCCAGTTTGCAGCAATGGCTTTAATGGGCTCTCTGGCCTCACGGCCTCTTGATTGTTGAATAGAAGATCTGCTGTAATGGGCTTGGTTGAGCATTGCTAATGCAAAACTCAAAGGGCCCAACATTGGAGTAAGGCCTGGTGCTGGCATTAGAGCCGGAATGGTCCTTCCCATTGATTCCAAGTGGACTAGGCTTAGGGTTAAATGTCTAATTGTGTCTGGAAATGAGAACTGTGGTAACAAAGAATGTATCTGAAAACAAATGTGTGGGGCAAACTTTTAGAAACAAATCAAGAGCCTCAGAGCCAGGAGAATACAGGACCAGCTTTAATATGAGGGTCAGGTAAAGGCAGAAGTAAAGCCAGGTGTTCAGGACATTAATTGTGAATCAACCTACATCATCTAGGCCAGCAATGGTGAAACTTTTAGAGCTTTCAATGATAACAAACAGCTTCCTGTGGCACATGGACCCTAGGTTCACTACCGTTGGTCTAAGCCTTATTTATTTTATTATATTCTGGCCACAGAATAAGCTGACCAGAGACAGAAGAATAGATTCTATATAAACAAATAACAGCTGTTTTACTTCAGAGATTCTCTGACTTCTTTCATTCTTTGGTTTGAGAGCATTTACTCCATTCTGAAAATGGCCTTCTGCAATGAGTTTTCTTCCATTATTGTAAATATGATTTATTCTAAAAATACAAGATTATAGTGATAGGCAATAAGACATAAGGATGTCTATCAAGACTTTAAAGATCCAGATGGCTATTCATTAGTTATTGGCACTAATGGTAAATTTAGTGTAAGGTTAAAGAAGGCTGCTTTGAAAGTAAAATTAGGTGGCTGTGGATTGTGAGGGAATCTAGGGTAGGATGAGGGAGATTTTCTTTCCTTTTCCATTAGTATAGAAGCATTTTTCCCTTCAGTACACTAGAGCACAGTAAGGTAATTAAGGTATCCCTGAGTTGGTAAGTGCTAAAAAATTATCTTTCTAACTCTCTCCATAACAACAAAAATATTTGCAAATATAATATATGGCTGGTTCTATAGGGCTATCACATCTTAAAGAGCTGCAAAGGGCTGGTGTGTTACCGAATTACAATGCTGCCCTGTCTATTATGGGTTGGAGAATACAAATGAAAAAAATGCATTTTTTTAACATTAAAAATATTTTGTAGTAATTCTAAAAGTCACAGAAAAGCTCAGTAGTTTAAAAGACTGGAATGAATATGCATTCTTTTACTGATGGCAGTATGTAAGCAGAGAAGCATGATTTTTGCCTGTCATTGGCTTTGCAAATAATACATTTCACCAGTGAAAAGAGGAAGGCAGTTGAACTCCCTAATATTTCTGGTAAGGTAAAATAGCAGAGTCAATGTATGAGTGTTAGTCTAATGCTTGTAACACAGACTCCAGTTACGTTAAATTGGAAAGGTCCTTAAAAATAATTAAGACCTGCTCTTTACTGATGATAAAACTGAAGTCCAAACAGGTCAAATGGCCTCCAAATTTGTCATACTTGTTGGTTGTCAGGCTTATTGTTTCAAAGAGCACAGTTTCTTCTAGTCAAGAGTTGTGTGGAACGTAGATCTTCCTTACTTGCCTCAGGGAAGCTACTTCTTCCTGAGAACTGCTATTGTCCTTGACTATTCAGCTGTTCAATTATTTTAGACTCCTCCCATTTACTGGGGATTTATTTCCCTGTTCATTCCTTAGTTCTTGGGAGAGGAGAGAAAGAAGAAAATATAAAATACATAGCCATTCTTTCACTATTAGTGATTTGGTGGCAGTTTCAGAGAGTGCGTGCTGCAGGAAAGATGAAAATAGTGTTTGGAGATCATATGGTAATTTGGCAGATTTTCGTTTTCCCGAAATATTAACGACATAAAAATTGAGGGTTTAACAAAAAATGCGCTGGCGCTTTTGTCCTGCAAACATCTCCCGTGGTTCATGATTTAAGACTCCAGTCTCTATTGAATTTATCTCATGATTTATATTCCCGCTAGAAATACTGTGAGGTTTAGATATCAAGTTTTATATTTGTAAACGCGTATGAGTGAGGAGTGAGTGAAAGAAGGTAAGTTCCCAGGCTCTCCTAAGCTGAGAATGTCACCATATGTATGAACAAATGCCTTCCTAGCCGATACTGGGTGTAAACCAGTTGAAATATTGGAGGAAAGCCAATGTTTCATCATCTTGGCTCATCTCTGCACACAGCGTAATGCTCTCTCTCGTGTGCTCTTGCAGGGTAATGAAATGCCAAAGGCTTGTCCGAATGCCAATGATAATACACCTATTTTCATGTAGCGCAGCCACTGCAGTTCACATCGTTACTTTCCCAACTGAAAAATGCTGGTGAACCAGCACGGCGAGGCCAAGATAAGTACCTGCTTACAGTTACTGGCAAACAGTGAGGACAATTAAACTTCAATTCTGAGTCACTTGTCAACTGGGCAAGCTGACTTCAACACCTCCTACTGAGTTTTTGAGCTGTGTAGGATTTTACCATATTGAACTTGGTTTATATTAATAGATTTGTCCTGTTAAATGCCGGAAAAACCAAATTCTTTAAATAGACTCTATAGGTGTACATTTTGGAGTATGTGCAGTACTTACCGTTCTAGTTTCTGAGCTGAAGTTGCATTGTGGATGTCAGAAGTGAAGATTATAGGTGCTGATCCGTTGCAGCAGACAAAATGCACCTCATTTTGCTGGGTAAAGACTCTGCATGAACACCAAGTCAGCTTCTCCCACACATGAGTCTTCTCTGTCACTTCAGTAGGAGTTTTATGTGGGAATTAAGAACAGAAAAATGTCACTGAAGTGTGTCTGATCATGATTTAGTATCTAAGCCAAGAAGTCTTTGGTGAGCAACGCTCCTGCCCACATAACACTAAATCATCAGCACATGTAGCAATAGGCCTGTAGATAAGCCCTGGCACTGCTTTGCGTAGAATATGCTATAAGCTATGTTATTTTATATTTGATAAATTTAAGTTGATATTTATAAGAAAATCTCATGAAGGTGTTTAATTGGAGTATAAATTATGGAATAATTGATGTTTACTTTTGTTCTCCTGTTGGAGGAGAACCATAAAAGTTGTAGGCAGCATTCACTGAGAGAAGAAAGCCTAAGACAACCTGTGTACCCTCGTGGTGTAAAACAGAAGTGGGAGCAAGTGGAAGTGGGAAGAGGGGCAGTGGACATGTGAGAACCAAAGGCTTCCTCTACCACACTGCTTACTTATACCTCTCCGTAGGTTTAAAAAGAACTGATTGAAAATTAGAGTCCATTTCATTTTGATTACTATTAAGACAAATACACACCAAACAAGCACACCATATTTTATTAAAATAAATAATGGAGCTTATGGGATCAATCCATGGCATTTAAATGCAGTGACATCCTATTTTTCCCATGGGGTAATTACATGACTCAGTCCACTGGATACCAGCTAAGCCAAAGCAGGTTTACTGGAAGTGAAGAGAGATCGTCCTGGGATTCCTTTTGCCTGGCTTGTGAGTTGCTGAGTTAGGGTAGAACTGGCATGATCTCCAGACTGCCTCGTTAACAGCCTCCTCAACCAGGGAGCATTCACAAGTGAAGAGAGAGAGGCCTGGTACAGTTCTGGCTCTACTCATGTTTAGAAATTAAAGAAACAAAAGAAACTTTGAGAGTGAAGTTTATGCTTTATGTTTGTTTGCCTTCTGGATACCTGTGTTGTTGGTATTTAATCTACAAAAATTGGAGTCAAAGGTCCTTTCTGAAAGGGCATGTGTATTCTGAATAATGTTCTTAAACAAACACGGCCCCACTTTACCCCGGCCCCTCACATTACCATGGGGTAGGTTTACATTACCTCCAAGGGAAGAATCTTCACTCACATTTCTTCACGTCTCAGTTGCAGCCCTCAGTAGCAGTCCACGTCATACTTTATAGGTAGAAGAGATTACTCTTCAGACAGTATATGAGACTTAATCAACCCTTTAAATTATATCAAGGCACCTCTATCCCATTTCTAAACTGAACATTAGTGACTTTTTGAGTCAGTGAGTAAAAAAGAACACCATCTTTCACATGGGATTTTATCCACATCTTATTAGAGGTAGCATTTCCCCTCTTGAACAGAAGTTCATATTAATTCCATCCAACACAGTACTTGTGGGTTTCTAATAATTCTGACCATAGATGTGGCCTGAGCTCTGGCCTGTGAGTGTTGTTCTAAATTACTAGATTCTTCAGCTCTATTTAAATATGGTAGGTTGTGTTTTTCTACTGAGTCGCTCCAGAGGTGTTATTTCCTCCCCTTGCAGACAGAAGGAGTGCCATTACTCCCACCCCAACTCCAAGGTAGAATTATGAATAAGCAGGACATCTAGTTGGCATGCACCATGTTGCAGAAAAATTCAGACTGTTACCTATGGAATGTTTTTCAATTAATATGATTTATTTTTTTGGCCAAAAAAATTTGCTCACAGATATATCTTAGAGCCTATGATGGAAAACTATGTCTATATCTTGAGAATATCCAAGTCATACAACACCCTTTCTACTCAACTTCAGGGAAGCCAAGTTGTGGAGAATAACTCTGAGTTTTGACGTCACTGCACTTTTTGGTGATGTCTGGGCTTTTGAGTACCAGGTAGTGCAGACTGGTATGAATGTTGGTTATTTTTAAGCTGAATTCACTTGAAAGGAAATTTCTAAAAGGTGTTGCACTTTTTATTTTTGGCCCATAGAGTTGGTAAAAGTCTTGAAACTGGAGATGGTATGATAAATCATGCAAGGTAGAGACTTGCCTACTGATTAATCAAGGTCCTGTGAACTGGAGTGGGGTGAGTCATGCACAAATGGACAGCAGAGTTAATCTCTTGGACTGCTCTCGATAACAGACAACTCCCACTTTGGAGGTGCAGGTTATACAAAACAAGGGGAAAAATAACTCAAAAGTTTCGGGCTGGTCCTGATTTAAAATATTGACAATCAACAAATTTATTTGTAGATTTATTCAATAGTAAACACTAGTTAAATCATGAAGAGCTAAGCAGAAGGAATTCTAGAGTTATTATTTATAACAATTTGCAAGTAAGTAAGCACACCTTTAATGTGACAATTTTCACATGGGGAAAAGAGAAGAAGAAGGAAAAGAAGGAGGAAGATAAATAGAAGAACAGGAAGAGGAAAGGGCACAAAAACATGCTTAAATTTGAAAACAAAATCATTAATAGAAATACTTGCCCAATAGGCAGAAATATCACCAGTTTGTTATGCCATAGGCCAAGTATGGTGTCACATACCTGTAATCCCAGCTCTCAGGAGGCTGAAGTTTAAGGATAGCCTGGGCTATGTGGTGAATTCAGGACCAGTCTGTCTCAGAAAAAAATTATTATGTCATGGTGGATCTGAATCATACTAAGTTCTTCTACTAATAGCCCCAGTGATGTTAACAAAAAATAAAAGCAGGTTAAAGAAATTTTGGTGATACTTGATAGTTAAGTAGTCTCAGATAGTGTAAGACATCCCAAATCTAGTATCAGTGGATTTCTCCCCAATTCTGTATTTTAGGATTTGGGTCAGAATTGTGTATAAGATGTTCATGAAGCAAACAAGTAAACATAGAAAAGAGAGTTCAAAGGTCTGATTTTTCTGAGATGAATACAACCTAACACTTCCTTAGTTAGGATGAAATAAGAAAATTTAAAAACTTCCTCTAAAGGAAGCTATTTTCCCCCCAAATGGTGTAAAAGAATCATTACAAAAGAAAACTAATATTTTTTATTTAAAAAATTTTTTAAAAATTACAAAATAACAACAACATAGACAAAAACAAAGCAAAGCAAAAACAATGTAAATGATACAGGGTTTCAAAACAGAATGATAGGAATTAACAGGGGTTGTTAACGTTACATATTGTTATCTTCAGTGAAGTTGCTCATATTAGCAGATGTAAGAATGCAAGATTGATCAATCCATTAAAGAGAATAAAAATTTTTTATTTTTTATTTTTTTGAAATGGGTTACATAATACAATCTCATTTTTGTTTGGTTTTTTTTTGTTTGTTTGTTTGTTTGTTTCTGTACTGGGGATCGGACTTACGACCTTGCGCTTGCCAGGCAGGAGCTGTGTGGCGGAGATAAATCCCCAGCCCAAATTTTTTAAAAAATTAGAAATGATACAGAGCTTCACTACTTTAATCTTCACAATCACTGACTGAAGTTGAGGTAACTACAAGCTGCAATAGGACACATGCCTGCCCTGGTCTGGCCACTCTGGGTGAGACCTACTCAACCCTGCTGATGGCCTCTCAGCACTAAGAGAGCTTTTATTTAGATACTGAAGAGGGCTGTCATAGCTGGGCATGACAGTGCATGTCTGAAGTACTCCCAGATGCCTGGGAAGCTGAGGCAGGAAGATCACAAGTTTGAGCCCTGCCTGAGCAATTTTGTGGATTCAGTCTCAAAAAAAATGATAATAATAGTAATAATAATAATGATGATAATAATAAAATATAATAAGAAGAGGAAGAAGGAGAAGAAGGAGGAGGAGGAGGAACAGCAACAGCAAAGGGGCTGGAAATGTATCCAAGTGTAAAGGCCCTGGGCTGAATCCCCAATACTGAAGAAAAACAAGTAGAAAAGGAATCCTTTGTAAGGTGCCTTCAACTTTGTGCTCAGTCCATTTGTCTGAAGAGAGGTGACACCATTCAGTTATTAGACCCAAAGCTCCAGGCCCACCTCTAACCAACTCTTTGACCTCATGCAGGAAAAGGCCAGCCCAAAATTTGTTGTTTGCAACCTTGGGCAAAACACTTAGTCACTGAGCCCCATTTCCTTATCTCTAAAGTGGACGTCTCTTTGCTCTTTCTTATGGGGATGTTATGAAAATTAAGGAGATAATACTGGCAAATTGCTTTGAGTCCCTAAGAAGAAAAGCACACTTCAAATAGAAGCACCATTATATTGTTGTGCAATCAAGCTGTATCTTCCTCTCCTTCAATTACCCCTTCTGCTGCTGTGTTTACCTCAACAGTTAGGTGTGTCTACTCTAACTGGTCAAACCAATACTTATCTGTTATGCTTTTCCCTATTCCTGTTCCTTGGCCTATTTTGCATATTTTCTCAAGTTGATTTCTTTGGGAAGAGTCTACGAGTGAGTTGATCATATTGACTATAAGAACGTGGTCTGTAGAAAGAGTTTCGCGCTACATGATACATATTTAGTGGTTGCAAAACAGACATGCAACAGTTTCAAGTATATTCAACTGATTATGTATAATAAAAATAGTAATTAATGCTGTAAATTTAAAGTGTACCTTTCATCTGATGATCTCAAAGTATTTTAGAAACGCTAATTAAACTCCACAACACCCGTTCGTTATACGTATTATTATTTCCACTTTGTCAGGGAAGAAGCTGAGGTTCAATGAGGTTATGTGACCCGCACAGGGTGCACAGCGAGTCAGGGACAGGAAAGGGACTCAGTGTTCCCGAGGCCCAAGCAGAAGCTTTGGACTTAAGCTAATTAGCACTTTAATTTCAGTGATGGAAGAGACCAGGTAATCACCGCTGAGCCCCAATAGTCAAGCTGGCATCCAGGGTTTAGGTGTTCCACTGACCCTGTGTTATGGGCTTTGCAAATTTATCCACAAGGGAATGAACAGAGCTTGACATGTATACAGCCTACAATTCCAAAATCAGTTAATGTGATAAAACTGTGGTCTAGGAAAAACCGCAGCAAGTAAATAAATGCTGAGAATCAGCACTCATCAGAT